TGGCCAACATTCGGGGCCTCGCGTGAATGTTTGGGTCAAGTGGTGCAGTAAGAGTTTCCAAGGCAGGGGACCAGTGTAAAATCCACCCTCACCAGTGGTGGCTAACACCACTGCTGTCTGGAGCTAGATCTCGCCCCGGCTTGCCTGCCCCCTCTTCTTCCTCACCTCACCATGAAGGCCATCCCCATCGATGATGTGAGGAGAGCAAACGAAGGTGCGAGAAACAAGTCGAATACTTTGCTTTGAATGAATAGGTGGACGGTCCTGATTGATGAGAGCAAACTGGCATCAGCCCTCCCTGATTAACATCACTGCTTCCCAGTCTGGTCCTCGAGGACCTCCGACACTCCCCATAGTCGTCCAAGGCCTGGGTTAGGAAACACTGGTCTACTGAGTTGGGGATGTTAGAGGCATGAGGCTGTGACATTCGGACATGAATGTAGCTGACAGATAATCTGGTCTCACTCGCCGTCCTTCTGGGAAGACAGAGTCCGGGAACAGAGATATGTGTCTTGTTTCATAATCCTAAGGGTACAGGACCCTGGCTGTGATCTAACATCGACATGATCTAGATGAGGTTGGATTGGTCCTTCTTCAGCGTCGGGGGGTGCGATCACACTGAATGGCCCATTAAAGGGAGTTTTTGCTCTCCCTGCTGTTTTCTGGCTTTTTAGATTTAATACGTTTGTGTAACGTTTATTTAATGTTCTAATTTGAGCTCCAATTGCACTTTAATTAAGGAATCATATGAAATATAATTGAATAGTGCCTCTTACAGCTCATCTCGAGGCAGTAGGTGGTCTGATGTGATGGATAGGGGGCAGCTCTAAAATACTGCCCCCCACCATCGCAATTAAAGGGCCAGACTCACATTAATAGACACTGTGGTCACAAAAACTTTGCTGAAGTGATCCTACTAATGAGTGAACACAGGGACACTCCCTGCTAATGTCATCTCTCAGTCCTAAACTGCTGTGGATTTATTTCAAAGACGTTTATAAGTCCGTCCCAGCGAGCAGGATGGAGTTTCTTACAGATACAAACCCTGCTGTTTATCAAAAGGACACAGATTTTTGCTCCAGGACAAATACAGTCCTTTGTCTTTTCTGAATCTCCTTTAGTGGTGTAAGTGCTTTCAGAGACAAAAAAGAACAAATAAAGTGCCAACAAAGTGATGAACACATTCACATTTTTCATTAACTGCAGAAGATATAGGCTACATAAAACGTAAAGGCAGTTTCCCCTCGACATTGAGACATAATTATGAATATAAAATGATCAACATCACTTGTATCACACAAACCATGTTCTGTCCATGTAGAAAGAAGGACATCATCTTCAGTCCTGTTAGCATTTGCATTTCTAATTGAAAGTTAATTGCAGGTTTTTAGGTCACATGCAACTGCTTCCGTATTAGAAAGGTGATTATTTAACGAATAAAAGCAAAGGTCTGGCCACAGCAGCTGCCGACACGAAACACCTGGAGTGGAAAATCTGGATGAGCGCCTCCCTAATCAGCCCCAGTTTACTTTAATGGGATTGAGGAGAAGTATGCAAAATGCCCAGTGTGTCTGCCTCTGATCGTCAAATGAATCCATCTCCCTGATCCCGATACGTCCAGGTATGTCCATTCATTTGTCCCACAAAGGAGATTGCTGGAGGGTGCCACAGTGTTTCTCCTGCCCTGTTTAGTGGGTCCGTGGTGATGTGCAAAATGATTCTTTTTAGTGATTCGTTTCATTTCGTTCAGTTCACCAGATTGATTTGAATCATTGAATCACTGATTCGCTCGCTTCAAAAACCACAGCAAGCTATTGGCTGCAGGTTTAAAAACTAGGATGGTATCATAACATTGTAACAACTTTAGCCACCAAACAATATAAGCTATAAAAACAAGCAACAAAAACTGTATCAGTATGTACTAGTTTTGATCTCTGAACGAACAATGTGAATGAATTAATGTTACATTCATATAGCTGTTTTCAAGACACCCCAAGTGTTTTACAGAAGCTACTGGGAGCCACTAAAACCAATATGACAGTAGCACCCACATGGATGATGTGACAGCAGCCACTGGGCACCAGTACAGCCCCCACAGAGAAGCTAAGGTGGTGATGGGCCAGGAGAGAATTCACACATTAGATACAACAAAGAACTCCTTGGTTCGTTCATTGCACATCAGTATGGGTCGTATCACTTATTCTCCAGAGTCCAGATGTCACACGGTTTGTTCAGATAAATATAATCACCGTATTTACGTCAGGGAGAATTTACAAGCGTGGAGAAAACCTGCGCTGGGTAAATTCAACCGCAGTTTTTTGGTGTTAAGAACAGTGATGAATAAATAAGTTTTTTAAATGAAAAGTATACAGACTGACATGGCAGATGCACTAGCCACTCTGATTAATGCCTGCTATTCGGAAAATTTTGTTGGAAACAAATTTATATATTCCCTTAATACAGAATAAATATGAAAAATAAATGAATGGACAATTACTTATAAGGCAGAAACTTTCATAGAGCAGAGTGGTGCAGCAGAAGCTGCGTGGCCCTATACCCCGAGGTCGGCGTGGCCCTATACCCCGAGGTCGGCGTGGCCCTGTACCCCGAGGTCGGCGTGGCCCTTTACCCCGAGGTCGGCGTGGCCCTGTACCCCGAGGTCGGCGTGGCCCTTTACCCCGAGGGGCTGCGTCTCTGCCAGTTTATATCTTTCTCTCAGTAGAGTGACTTCACTGTTGGGCCCCAGAGCAAGACCCCTAACCTCCAGTTTCCCCAGGGACCGAACTGACTCCGCCTTCTCAAAAATGTGCACCCATGGATAAAAGCTCCTGCTACACAATCAAAATGTAACTCGTTTCCCCTCCTTTAATTGTTTTTTTGTGGTTTGCTTTAATTAAATGCTTTAGAGCACAAAAAAAGCACAACATTCCTGATCCAGAATTACAAATCACACTTTATATTTCTGTTTTCAAAAGGCACGGAAGACATGCTAACGGGTTGTATCAGTGCAGAAAGTTATACAGGCATTATACACTCATCCAGGAACATGAGGACCTGGAGTCTGTGCCAGACTGCATGGGGCACAGGGCAGGGCTACATCCACTGTACACACACATACACAAGGCTGTGCTTTTAAAATCAAAACATTAAGAGTTTCCTCCACTTTACAGTTAAAGGCCTTTTTAAATACATGAAGTAACTACAGATGGCGCATTAGATACATCTGAACTACAGGATAACATCACTGTCAAGGGCTGTAAGGGTTTATTATATAAATGTGAATATTTCTTCTTAGCTAATAGTCACATAGTCTCTGTGCTTAGAAACAGACTGGCAGCCTAAGGCAGAGTGAGCCAGTGTGTGTGTGGCGGTAATGGGGGATTTCTAAGCCATCCAGGAGAAAATTAGCTAATTTCCTGCCTTTGCTCTTAATGAAGTACTGAATAAAAAAGGTCATTTATTAAATCGTGCTTCAGATTTTCTAAAAATATATTTTAGAAGCAAAAGTGACTATTATGCATTAATTAATCCGCGAGGTTACCTGGATTACTAAAATCATTTAATACCAAAACCTTTGCGAAGCAATCCTCAGATTAAGGTTGCAGTGTGCGGTGCTGTTAAGTAGCCTAAAACTCCAATCACACCTCAAGGTTTTCTTAGTATACTTTGGGTAAGTGAACATTACAACCAAATTGTGGAAACATTCAGATGTAGGAGTGGACAGGGAGCAAAATGAATTTATGGGCAAGCAAATCAGTAATTTCACATTAGAATTTGCATATAATGCGTGCACAGCAGAAAAATGCACAGCTGTCTGGGAGATTTGCAGTCGGCCCTAGGAGGACGCAGCAGCCAAGACAGGTGTGACAAAATCCGTAAAATAACACGACTGTAAAGCGTCGGCTCTCTTTCAGTCCGTCCGATGCTTCGACGCTTACATGTGCTGGACTGAAGCTCAAATCGTGCTGGATTTTGTATTTACAGCGATTCCCTTAAAGCGTGGAGTCAGCGGCGGTCCGAAATGTGAATCCGTCAAACTGCTGCCTCAGCCAGATCCCTCAAAGGGACAATGGTGTTACAGTGGACTGTAACATCCGAGGGCATCGCATTTATCTCTCAGCAGTAAGTCAATGAAACAGGCAGCAATTAAAGCACAATTAAAGGGAAAGCCAAGATCCGGCTGTGACTTCGCTTCATTATTCACCCATTATGTACTAAACTGCCAGCCTGTAAAATGTACTGGAAATGGTGCATTTTGTGGTTTTAAAGAGATGACTATTGCATCACCTTTAAAGAATTTACTGACATGCCAAATTAACATTTTAATTGCGCTTTTAATCCTTACACTGAGTACAAGGAGGTAAAACTCCACGTCATTTTATGATATAGCCTACCCTATACGGTGATATGTCACACAGGATATTGGTGTCAAAGTTGAGACCCGATCAGAATTTCTTTTCCCCAAGTATTACCACGGCTCCGTTTCACTGTGCCTTTAACACAGCGATCCCCAGCGGCTCAAAAGAGAATTTCCACTGAACTTGACACATATTGAAAAAAAGCTACTTCGGCTTGTGGCACATTTAGGTGCCTTTCGACTGTTTACTGCAAATTGTGTATCAATCGTTTTAAAATATATCTTCATAGATTAGGATTGCGCGTGGGTTTGCACCGTCGCTAGTCTGAAGCGCCCTTTTTCATCTTGCAATATTTCCCCACAATACAGATATATAACATTCTGATTTATTTACTTTGACCACCACTAAGTGACGCGTCTCTCTTTAAATGTCCGGCAAATGTCCTATACCGGCGTGATCCGTACGATATTCAGATAGAAATCGACATAATAATAATAATAATAATAATAATAATAATAAAGACGAATAATAATAATAATAATAATAATAAATGTAACGCTTCAAGCTGACTCGGAGCTCTCGGCTGATTAATTCTCCCCTTTCCGTTTGAGATATTCCTCCGTCCCTCTGTCTGTAGCGACATTTCTGCCGGTGCCAGACAAACCATTCGCGTCTCAGCTTTCCGTCCTCAGCTTTCCTGACGTCCTGATCCTAGTGGGACCACTAAGACGCTCACATAACGCTCATCACGAAGCAGGTACCCCTATAAAACCGACGCCTTTACACTGATTAATAATGCAGTATTGCACTGCGTACGTGCTGCTGCTCCCCACGGCTGTAAGCGCAGCGTCTCCCTGCCGTTTATGTTTGTCCGCTATAGATCTGAGCAGGACGGCGGTACCAAGGCATGAAGCTGATGGTGTCCGTGCTCTGCGCGGTGTTCTCGCTCACCGTTGCGGGTAAGTTTGTGGGGTCAGACCGCCTTTTATGACTACTGCATCATTTTACGGTCTCCTTCTTTGCAGTATTGAACGCGTCGATTGTTAGCCCTTTCACTTTACGTTAGTTTCTTTCTAACGACAACGGTCACAATACACTACGCAAATGACATAGTGCACCATCATTAGACAGTCTAACTTGGACGATGGAGTTATGTAGTTACAGTTTTGAAGGCTTTCTATAGCATACACATCGTATTATTTGCTATTGTTTATTGCTTAAGACATGAATGTGCAAATTGGTGAAAAAACTAAAATAAAAGAACAAATGTTTTTATGGAATACGCATTTGAAAAATATGTTTTCAAAACGCAATATTATTTATGTTTTGCAGTTGAGTTTATTAGATGTATCTGGACTGTGGAATGGCACTTATGTCAGAAAGTTTATGAAATTGTTAAATAATCCCAGGTTTTCTGGTGGAATTGAATGATATTGATGTTTCTTTATCCAGCCTGCTGTTTCCTGTTAGAAATTTCATGGAGGAATTCTGCTTATTAAGCTCCTCATTAATTCCTACCCCTGGATCTCTGTGTGCAGCTGGGCGTTTGTATAGATTGGTTCTAGGTACTGTGGGTTTGTCCTACAATCTAATGTGAGGTTGTGTGTGTGTGTGTGTGTGTGTGTGTGTACATGTATGTGTGTTTGTGTGTGTGTGTGTCAGTGTGTCTGTGTGTCTGTCAGTGTGTCTGTAGCCTATAATGCCCTTTGCTTTAGAGGACTGGCTCCATGCTCAATGTGATCTTGCACTGAATAGAAATTGTGGAAAATGGACAGATTGACTGCATATATAACCAGTGGGTAACACCTTACTTGAAGGGGCACACTTATTACTCATATTATTATGTATTATTACATAACTCAGTTACTACTGAAATACAAACCATGAACAAATATAGTAGCTACTCACTTTAAAAAGATGCATCAAGATTCACTAATGATGAACAAACATGAGATCAGGACAGTATTTCTCATGTGTAATTCATTGGTGCTTCAGTAGTTCACAAAGGTTTACAGAAGTAGCAGCTATATTAACAAACATAGCAACTGCTTAAGATGTGTCACGATTCTTTAATGATGAATGAACATCACATTGGTATGCAACTAAGACTTAGTTTGCGGTTAATTAATATATAAGTAATAACATAATAGTATATTATTTGTGCCGCACCAAGTAACATGTAAGTAACCAATTGATGTTTTATGCTTCAGTCTGTAGGCCTCACTTTCGGAGTCGCTAACATATGTGTATTTATCGTCATCGTCGCAGATGCAGTAGGGAAGTCAGGACCGTATCATAAAGTTTTCAGGCATGCAAAGACCTCACAGACTTTCACTGCTACTGAATTAATGAAGTTTACAAATGTTCCTTGACTTTGATGTTCCACAAGGGATGGTGAGCTATTGATCTGCGTGGGATGTGGAGGGTGGACAAGATGACTGTGACTTCTCTAGAGTAGATCGTCTTAAACAGAGCTACACATCGCTTGTTTATTTGCTTAATGAAGGCTTGGGCATTACTCTTGCCTCGTTTAAGATGTATAGTCCTCTTTAGGTTGTCAGGCAGTTTCACTAATGAGTGCTTGCTGCGATCGCCGTGCTTACTAAAAGAAGCCAAACGAGAGGATGATTAACTTAGCCCTCTGGCAACATCGTGTTTTTACTGCCCGCAAAAGGACACTTCCTGGGTGAGCAGATGGCAGGGGGCTCTGATGCACCCATCCCCCCCCCCCCCCCCCCCCCCCCCCCCCCCCCCCCCCCCCCCCCCCCCGCCCCCCGCCCCGCCGCGGGCTCATCAGAATCGCGCCGGGCCGATCTGGGACGCTCCCGCCTGTCTGGTCAGTTTAAAGGTCTCTCCGTCCCTTTCCAGTCGCTGTTCAATGTAATTCAGCATCACCTCTAAGGTTCTCAGGTGGAGGAAACTCTTGACAGAGAACCGGAACTGTCCAAAGGGAACGTGAGCTCCGGAACCGGCCCAGTAATGTTGACTTACGGTATCATCCATCGACATTAAGCCTGCTGCGTGTAGCACTATGGCTAAAATTACTTCTGAATATATCTTGCACAAGAAATGTGCGTATAGCTTATCTTGCGTTTGTATATATTAACGATGCACAGCTTGACTAATGATATTTATAATCCAAGCCCTGTCACTATTTTTAACATCACAGCATTATTAATGGGTCCATAGAGCAGAATCACTAAGACTGTCCTGCTGTGTACCATACGAGGATTTCCAGTCACCAGTGTTTGACTTCTTTGTAGTTTGTTTGGCTAAATATTTCCTCTCTCTAAAAATACATGTAGTGGATGTATTTAAATATGCCCATCGGCTGCTTGTGTCCCTCACTGCCCCCTATGCAAGGTGAAATAATCATTTGTTGTAAATGTGTTTATAAGGTAAGGAAAACGTCTTTGAAACAAGCATAATCACAAGAGCAAAAGGAGTGTTCTATGCCTTTGATAATTTCTTTGAGGGAACCAAATCGGTAGGTAAGTTACTGTATAGACATTAACAGAACTGGACAGATGTACTGGATGGGCTGTCATTTCCAATTGACAGGGTTCATCCCAATATGTTGGGGAATTTAACTTGTGTTATACGACCTTACAGAAAATGGTAGGAAACCTCATACTCTTCTTTCCATCTCAAAAGTAATATCAATTTAAGCTGTTTCTAGTGTTATGAATCGAATTAAAAAAATAAAAACTGGGAACACATTGAGGGAGCACAAATAATGCAGCAGCACACTCTTATTAATGTATTAATTAACCAGAAACCTAATGTAAGTTGTGTACTGATCCCATGTTCGTTCATCACTAATCAGTCATAACTGTCCATATATTTCATTCAGTTAATTTATTTGTTCAAGATTTGTCCTTGATTAGTAACTGAGTCACTACATTAAATGTGTCCTCTTAAGTAAAGTGTTACCAAATAACTAATAATTTGCACCTGTTTTCTGTGATTAATAGTGATTAATTGCACCTAATATTAAAACTTAAAATTCTAACCCACTTTGGTTAGGGATGCCTGATTCTCTCAGTGTCATGCTCAGCCCATTCAACCAGGCGGAGGCCTAGAGAACAAGAGAAAACAATAGGAATTGTGAAGGGCGCTAAACCTAAGGAAACACAGAGGAGAGAACGGGCTGGCTAGTGACACCTGCTGGCCAAATGGAGAAATGACAGACAAGGCAGGAACACGTCCTGACAAAAAAGCTAAAAAAAACCTAAGTTTGAGAGAGTGACAGATTTAAAAATTTGTATAATGGTTTAACCTAAACTAGTGATGTACAGAGTATTCCATTCCAACAAAAATACCATTTGCAAGCAAGTACAGACTGAAATTCAATGCTTTAAAAAAGGCAAGATGCACAGATCGCAATACGACTAGAGGGCATTGCCCACCTTAGTGACTGATGGCATGTCCCACATGCGCATATAATACCACAGACTCAACAGGCTGGAGACACTATTTAATCCCGACCATGTGATCGATCTTAAATCTAAAACATATTTGGCAAATGGCTATAAAAACAGAAGCCTGACAACCGCTGCAAATACACTCAACATGACAGATGTCTGCCATCAAAGAGGCAATAAGGCGATATGACTTTAAAATTAACGCTATACATTAACGTGATTAGTTTCCCGGCCCTAGCTGCTTGGTATGAAGCAGGAAGACTAGGCGTCTTTGCATGCCTAGGTCAGATCTTATGGTAGTAGCATGGGGCAATTCGCCAGAATTGTGTTTTTGGTATAAGTGCACTTAATGCACATTTGGGGGTGTATTAGAATGGGGGTAGCAGCCAAATAGGTCACTTAGGCTTCGCTGTCTACACATGCGTCCTTTGATTCCTTACCCGTGTCCCATTCATGGCTGACTGATGTCTGAAAAGGGCTCCCTGGCAGCGGGAGGGATGAAGGGCAGCGGGACTCGCAGCTGCACTGCAGTTGTGTCTCTTTATATTGATTTCCCCCCCATATACAAGAACGATATTTGAGGTTTTGCCGCGCTCAGCATTTATGGAGCAGTTGTTTAGCTTTGCAGCTAAAAGTCGGCAGTATCGCCGCACTGGGGGCTCTCCGCGAGCGCCTTCTTCCTGCTGGTCCAGCCGACGCTTAGCAGTGAACTGTGAATCAGGTAACAACAGTATCTGTTGCATGTGAGCCATTTTTTATGCGGCAACAAGCTGGGGGTCTCCAGCCTATCCCCAAAGGTACAGGTGCAAGGCAGGGAATAACCCACGATTGGGGGGGGGGGTGTCATAGGATCAAAGAACCCAGAGGAAACCCCATGATAACACGGGGGTAACATGCAAACAAAGAGCCAAGGCAGAGACTCGAACCCTGGTCATAGAGGTTCGAGGCAACCGCACCACTCGCTGTGGTGCCCCTTAATGGCAGTGACCCTCATTAAACATATCTGCCAGAATTGACCAATGAGTCTTCTGTTTAAATGGTGTTAGGATGTGCTGCTGGTTTGGTACAGTCCTGAGTGCCCGTCATGACACACCGATTAATCTGCTGTCCTTCCCCCTGAGACAGGTCTGTTAGCACCACCCTGCCTTAATGGAGACTGACACATTGTTTAATTATTCACCACTTTGAGTCTGGGGCTCGTTCCTAGGTGGGTCAGTCACTCAATCTGTCCTCTCCTGTCCAGGTCAAGGAGAGTTCGCCTCTCTGGCCGAGATGGAGGACACACTGCTGAGGGATTTGTTCCACGACTACCAGAAGTGGGTGAGACCCATCCAGCACGCCAACGACACCATCACGGTGCGCTTCGGCCTGAAAATCTCCCAGCTGGTGGACGTGGTAAGAGCATTTGGGTTAATGACACGTGACTAAAGGGAAAATGAGCTGCCAGGAAGCATTTATGACATGCTATAGTAGTATTTTCCAATCCGGTCCTCGGGGTTCTGCATACAGTCCATTTTTTTGCTCCGCCGTGACCTGGAAGGGAGCAAAAATGCGGACTGTCTGGCAGGGAGCTGGAAGGGAGCAAAAATGCGAACTGTCTGGCAGGGAGCTGGGAGGGAGCAAAAATGCGGACTGTCTGGCAGGGAGCTGGAAGGGAGCAAAAATGCGGACTGTCTGGCAGGGAGCTGGGAGGGAGCAAAAACTTGGACTGTCCCCGAGGATCAGATTGGGAAACACGGCACTGCAGGGCTGGCTTTGCATCTTAGTCACAGTAAATGAATGAAGGAGCTTTACTATTAAACCCAGCTGATCCAATATACATTAAAATCTCTTTCAAAAATATGCACTCCATCAAACCTGGGATGCATTACTGTCTGATGGCAGTTATTCCATTCAATTACGGGCCTGCTATCTTCTCTACTAAGCAGTGAATCGATTGTTTTTCAAAATATAGCTGCAATTTTGCAGAATTCCTTACGGAAAGATAAAACGAGACGAGCTTAAACGGCATTAATCTTTACAGGAAGAGTTTATATAGATTCTGCCTTTGATTCGCCACTATAAATGGTTGCCCGGGAGATAAAGAGAGGGGGTTTACATGCATTAATTATCAGGTGCTTTGTGTCGTTAAGCCATATTGTTGGAGATGAAGGAGCGATCTGAATCTGCCAGGGAGGGGGGGGGGGGGGTCACGTTTCTGTTAACTCCCTAACTGCACATGCACTGAGTCACACGCACATACAGATTTCTCAGCATCATGCAGTTTTAGGAAACCTTGACAAGACCGGTCAGTTTGTCACTGCTCTTGCATGTGTTTGTATACATTCCCTGATGGAATCTTCCTTTCACCATGACCTGAAAATGCTTGCGTCTTCTGGATTCCTGAACTTGCATCCAGTTGAGCGATACCTTCAGGAATATGAGTCTTGAAATTTTTGGACCGGGGTCTCCAACTCCGGTCCAGGAGAGCTACTATCCAGTAGGTTTTCTGTCCCACTTGGCTTCTGATGAGCCACACCTGCTCCTGGTATTTACCTGAGAACAGCTGTGGCTCTTCAGAAGCCAGGTAGGATTGAAAACCGACTGAATAGTAGCTCTCCAGGACCGGAGTTGGAGACCCCTGCTTTAGACGTTGATGGCTTTAGTCAAGGTTGTTTCTGATGTAGCACTATTGCAGATGGGGTTCATAATACTGGCACCAGTTATGGTGAAATTAGAAATATTCAGCCAAGTCATTTAAATTAAACCCCGTGGTTCAATCATCGTGACAAAGCTTGCGCATTCCCAACAGGCCCAATCGCTATGGTGACCAGAAGAGATCCATGTCAAGGGTAATTACCTGCAACTTAAGGCCTTGACCTCACATCCTAACTAATGGCAAATCCTTGTAAATTTGGCCATGACCATGTGTGACTGACACACTAGTCTTCCATGTGATTGAGGGGAGGCAGGAAAGCTGTTGGAGCACCTCCGACCTGTAGGGGGCACCGCATTCCTACTCTTAAGTGTGTTTTTTTTTAGTTTCACTAGCTATTGACGCAGCTCTCGAACCACATGGTATTTACAGGCAAAAACCTAAGGGCTGAAGTGCATTCTATCACACATCTGTGAGGGGAGTCTGTTCTTCGGAAGCCTTATGGACTGAATTCTTAGCATGGTGTCCAGCGAGGACGCTGCAGCACTTAAAACACAGCTTACAGCAGAAAGGGGTCATTCAGGGTTTGGCTCCAGCCCAGAGAGCTTTCATCCAGCCAGTCCGTCGAGCAGAAACCATTGTGCTTGAACAGGCATAATGGTGAAAAGAATTTCCACTCCTGCACCGGGGTAAACATTAGAGGTTCTCGCAGCTTTTATCTACATCTCACCCATTTACCTTTCAATTTATTGCCACCAGTAGAAGGTAAAGAGTCTAACATAGGTGCAATTTCCTGAATCAGATTATTATAACATTAGCCCCTATTAGGGGCAGGATAACGAATCAGCGGCTCTGCTGTGATGTCACTCAGACTCTGGTATTTCATTGCCAGCGAGTCTAATCAACATCTGCTTAATGGACTTTGCTTGAATTTTGTAAAGCTGGATTTTTTTTGTATTATATTATTCTAGGAGTGTTGTATTGTGGCCTTATCGGAGATCCTGAATACTTAACCATCTCCATTGTTGGATACATAAAGCAACTATGAATTGATACACACATATACACATGCACAGTGTGATAGAAAGACTAGGCTTTTTCAGGTGGCAGGCTGGAGGCGGGTAAAGGGACTGTTCAGACTCAGAAAAAGCAGAGTCATTCATGACACCTTTTTTCACCTTGAGCTTGAGAGCCGATACCAAACCGATGGGGACATTTAGGAAATGTCTTTGGACGAAACCCAACAGCAAGCCCTCCGCTGTGTTTCTGTAGGGATCCCAGAACCTTCCCATGCTACAAAACATGGAAAGCAACCAATGAAAATTAGCTAATGGAACAGACGCTGGTATTTTCTAATTTGTTTGTGTGTTTGCTTATGGAACTGCAGTAACTTCAAACGGTAGGGATATACTGGCCTCTACTGGTCACATTTATAAATTGCACGTAAAGCAGATACGAGTCAGATTAAATGTGTCGGTTTTCTTTCGGGAAGCGCCGCGTCTGACTGGGCAGCATCGATACCTCACGTCTCGGTTTTGGGGGTCTGAATGCCGTCCTCGCGCTCTGTGTGTGTGTGTGTGTGTGTGTGTGTGTGTGTGGAGTTTGAATGCTCACTGTCTGTGTTGTACAGTGTTTATTGTCATGCAGCAGTCGCTTCGTGAAAGAATGTTATGCGATGCAAGAGATTTTAAAATAAGGATTTCATTGTGTAAAGTAAGATTAACACTGTTTCACAGCTAAACATAACCAAATAAATAAAATAAAGGAACTAATCCATGTGATGGAAGGAGTTTGTCTGACACGGTACTGCACTATTTGTTGTATGGACGTGCCGTCGTCGCGCTCTGAACGTGAATGTGAATGGGCCTCAGTAATGCACGCATTCAGAATGAAAGATAAGGAATACACTCTTCATTATTTCTTTTTTTTTCCGGGTGGGGGGGGGGGGCACCATTGAGTGTGTTTGGTCTCTGATGGACTCGCATCCTATTCATAGTGCTCTCTGCCTAAACGGCCCTTATCCCTGTCAGCATCTGCTCCAGCGCATTTCACACTCAGAATTCAGAGGGGCTTCTGGTTTATGATGGTTATTGTTACTGGTTACCAGTACAGCTTCAACACTTTCTCAGCTACGCACCGCTCTGTCTGTTGGCCTGTAGGATGAAAAGAACCAGCTGATGACCACCAACGTCTGGCTCTGGCAGGTAACCTTTTCCTGCCCCTGCGGACGGGCAGCGATCCTTCATTACCAGTCACCCATCCCACACTGAGGTGTCTGCATTAATCACGTACTCAGCATTAACATTTAAAATATTAGTATTTAAAATACTTTGTCTGCATTAAACACAATGTCCTAATTGCTTTCAGATGGACAGGTTTTTGTGGGAAATCTGTTACATTTGGAGTAATTGAGAAATGTCTGTGTTTGGTTACATTAAATCTACCATCAGGGCAGAGATTGAGAAGGTTACGCTTTGGTAGGGGGCTTGTTTTTGGAGATCGTCAGCGAGTACCGAGTCGCTGGCGGAGGGCCAGTCATGCTGATCTTGTGGCTAAGTTGGGCTGTGACTGCAGGAATGGACGGATCTTAAGCTACGCTGGAGCCCGGACGACTACGGTGGCATCACCTCCATCAGGGTCCCCTCGGAGACCATCTGGCTGCCCGATGTCGTCTTGTATGAGAAGTAAGTTTGCTCTTTCCGCTGAGGATTCTCCAGCGTACTGAACATTTACACACAAGATTTCGATGATTTTACTGCACATCATACTGTGGAATCCAGAATTTATGTTTTTTTCCTGATATCAACATCAATATCGACTAAAATACCCAATATACCTCACTGTATACTGTGTTAATGTATTTCTATATATTGTAATGCTCGCATTAAAGCAGGGGTGTCAAACTCCAGTCCTGGGGGGCCGGAGCCCTGTGTGTCTTAGTTCTTTCCTATTCTACCGCAAATGATTTGGCTCAAGAGCTGTGCTGTAATTAGCACAAGGGGTTGGATCAGGTGTGTTAAATGAGGGTGAACCATAAACTGTGCAGGGATCCGGCCCCCCAGGACTGGAGTTTGACACCCCGGCATTAAAGGAAGCACCTCCCTACGTCTCAGCAGATTCTAATCTTTCTTATGAATTTATAATGATATGAAAAGCCTAATAGTATTCTAGATGAGGAAATGCTCACCGAATTATACAAAATCTCCACTGACTGTTGATATATTCCGATTCCAGCCACGGTAAACACAGTAAAATTTCCCCACGAAAGCAGTGTTTTCCTTTCATTTAGCAGAAGGTTTTCTTTGTTTATCTTGAACTCTTTCTCCTCTCTATCTGGTCTTTTTCTGCGAACACCCACAGTGCTGATGGGCGTTTCGAGGGATCCCTGATGACCAAAGCCATCGTGAAGTACAACGGCTCAGTCACATGGACGCCACCGGCCAGCTACAAGTCCGCCTGCACCATGGATGTCACCTTCTTCCCGTTTGACCGCCAGAATTGCTCCATGAAGTTCGGGTCTTGGACCTATGATGGCAATATGGTGGACCTGGTTCTGGTGGATGACCACGTGGACCAGAAGGACTTCTTCGATAATGGGGAGTGGGAGATCCTCAACGCCACTGGAATGAGGGGCAGTCGACAAGATGGGCAGTATTCATACCCTTTCGTCACATACTCCTTCATCCTCAAGAGGCTGCCATTGTTCTACACGCTCTTCCTCATCATCCCATGCTTGGGTCTGTCCTTCCTCACCGTTCTGGTCTTCTACCTGCCTTCCGACGAAGGCGAGAAACTCTCTCTCTCCACCTCCGTCTTGGTGTCCCTCACCGTCTTCCTACTAGTCATCGAGGAGATCATCCCCACCTCTTCCAAGGTCATCCCGCTCATCGGCGAGTACCTCCTCTTCATCATGATCTTCGTCACGCTCTCCATCATCGTCACTGTCTTCGTCATCAACGTCCACCACCGGTCGTCCGCCACGTACCACCCCATGGCCCCGTGGGTGAAGAGCCTCTTCTTACAGCGGCTGCCCAAGCTGCTGTGCATGCGGGGCCACACCGACCGGTACCACCAGCCCGAGATGGAGATGGGCAGCCCGGGTCCCCAGAAGACCTCTGCTGGGAGGGAGGACGAGAACCAGGCCTGGGTGGACATTCTGGAGAGGGCCTGCAGCTCTGTGCGCTACATCTCCTGTCACATTAAGAAGGAGCACTTCATTAGGGAGGTGAGCCACACCTCGATGCCTCTAAGAGACTGAGGTAGCGCCATGCTAGCTGTTAGCATAAACCCCCTGAAATGTAAGCAGCATTTTACTCAGTTCTGCTTATTTTGACATGAATATCATTATTATTTACATTAAATACAAACTCTGTAGGGGCGGCATGGTGGTGCAGTGGTTGGACTTGGGTTCGAGTCTCAGCCATGACCGTGTATGTGTGGAGTTTGCCTGTTCTCTCCTTGTCGTCGTGGGGTTTCCTCTGGGTATTCTGGTCCCCCCCCCCCGACAGTCCAAAAACATGCTGAGGTTAATTGGAGTTACCAAATTTCCTATAGGTGTCTGCATGCCCTGTGATGGGCTGGTGGACCATCCGGGGTTGTTCCCTACCTTGTTCCCTACCTTGTTCCCTACCTTGTTCCCTACCAGGTACTGGACCCGCTATGACCCTGAATAGGGTGAGCAGTGGCAGAAAATGTACAGATGGACAAAATCCGCATCTGTGAACTTCAATGTTTGTGTGTATTTCGGTCGTCTTGTGTTGCAGGTGGTTCAGGACTGGAAGTTCGTAGCCCAGGTGCTTGACCGCATCTTCCTGTGGGCCTTCCTCGCGGCCTCCGTGTTGGGCACCATCCTCATCTTCACGCCCGCCCTGCAGATGTACCTGAGCAGCCCACCTTGACCGACTCATACACGCCACGCCCAGCAACATCTCGACGGCATGATCGTAGCCACCGTCACCAGACAAGGACTACGTGCGGCGTAGACCTGCAGCAAAGGGCACGCCCTTTAAGTAGCCAATCAGCTTCCACTCAGCTCAGTTTCTGAATTAAGCACAAATTATTGACAGTCTGTTGCAGACCATATAGAAATGAGTAGCATTGTTTCTGTTGTGATTATGTATTGATTGCAGTACTGCTCACGGGAACAGCATATGGAAAGCAGTTCTTATTGATTATGGTAATATATGCTTTAATGTTTGACTTTGAGTCACACTGACCACTGATCTCCATCCTCCATATTACAGTAGATGTGTAGATATACAGAACTGTAAGCATAGGAAATAGAGAAGTTTCTTATTGCTGTCATCTAAATGCACAATATGCAAATTTATCCCTGTGATGAACTGCTATTTCCACTGCTTCCTGGGACAGGTTCAGGGTCTCTTTGACGTACTGGACACGTGGCTGGTAGATGGATGGTCAATTTGTAAAACCTAAAAAAAACTTTACATGTGGATATTTAATTTAGTAGGATGCAGTTAAAATATGGCTGGGTTTTCCTGTTTGAAAAGGATGGATATGCTTCAGATTTAACTTCACTGGGTAATTGTTCACAGATCATGCCTGGTTCATGAGACCTTTGTTTTATTTTACCACCTGACACTAGGTGGCAGCAGTGGCTAGATAAAGACTCCGTGGGCGGCTTGTCAGCAGCCTGCCTGACTGGGAGACCACATGGAAATTGCAGAGAGACCATAGATTGGTAATGGCGGTGTTAGACCCACCACTGTAATAATAATAATTATCATCCATCTTCCAGTCAATTATTCTGGTCAGATTCATGGGTTAATAATAATTGATAGCAGGCAACTTAAAAAACAAAATGGGGTTCAAACAGCTGTCTGACATTGTCTGTTCTGCTGAAGCTTCATCTGTCTGTCTCTCAGTTTTATATGTTTGTTCGTTTATCCGTTTTACAGTCTCCTGTGATTTACTGCTAACTCCTGCAGGTTAAACCCTGGGTGACGTCATAATGGCGACAGGGTTGGTGTTTGGGGCAGAGAAGGACGCCCAGTAAGTGATTCTCCTGATCGTCCGCTGAGCAGCCGGGCTGAATTCGGTGGGATGGCTTTGCTCTTGGTACATTACTGGCCATCCTTTTGTAGTCAGTACTGGCTTCAGTTTCCTGTGATATCAGGCCAGTGACCTTCTGTCTTCCAAGCCCTGAACTCACCTTGGCACCATGTCCTACTTCCTCACAGTTAAGGCCAAACTGGAGCAACTGCATGCAAAGCTGCTCCTCTTTACTCCTGCTTTTGTGCATCTGATGCAAACTGTGATCCCTTTTGTAGAGACGCCGGCCTTTTTCCACCCCTGGAAATAGCATTTTGGTTGCTGTTTGTAGAATAAACTATTGGAATTATTCAGTGTTGGTTGAAACGTTATTATCTATCGGTAGCTTAAAGTACGGATCAGATAAACTTTTCAAATCTCTCAAAATTTCAGGTGGTCTCTTGACCAGGGGCGTAGCTAGGAATTCTAAATCCACAGCAAATGTCTCCTTGGGCCCCCCAATAACCCAGGTCCCCAATGTTTTTGGGGCCCCAATAAAGTGAATCTGCCAGGGTATCCAGAAACCCTCCCATGCTCCTGCTGTACATCAGTTCCTAACCAATGGAACCACACTGGTTTAGCGTTTCCCTCCTCACTCGCACGATGTCGTGTTTGACACTTCAGAAGTACGTGACAGTCACCTTCTTTACTCTGTTTCCGTTGGACAGACCAGTGCGGCCGCAAAATTGTTGGGGAAGCGGCAGGAGATTACCCCCAGATTAGGGGGGAAAGGCGACGAGCGCAGAAGGGATTGTGGGACGCGTCCGTGCTGATTGGCAGACAGGGGAGGCAGACTGACATGTGACTGAGGGACCTCCAGGGGGGGGGAGTCTTACTGTCTGGAGAGTCAGACACAAAAATGTTTGCTTTTTCCATGAAGAATGGACCCCCCTTGAGAGATGGGCTGTCTATACTCCTGGGCAATATGAGAAAACAACAGAGAAAGAAATTAATGTGTCGGCTCAGAACTGGCGTTTTGTATGTGTCAGTACAAACTCTGACAATAAACTCACGTCTCACGGAGCGCTGGAGATCTTCGCTTTGTTGCTGTTCGTCGGTCGCGTTAAAACGAGCCGTCACCGATGTTTAAGGTCTGTCACCAGTCAGCCGAGTCGAGAAGCCCAGGGCCGTGCAGAGAGAGAAGGTGCTTGAAGAAAGAGGGCGGCTAATGTAATCAATCAGCAGGGCTTAAATCTTACAAGGACCCTCTTTGATTCCTATAAAAGCACTTGTCAGAAATAGAAATGCAGAGTCAAACTATGTAGTTTGGATTAAAAATAGCTTGTAATTCAACTTAACAAGCAATCACGCATTTAAGGATGAGAGTGTTTGTGAATAATTATCTCTTCATTTTACTTTGATAAATAATGTGTTATTGAGGTACATTAACATCCTTTAGATTTACTTCCATACCGGTGACTTCAGGAAGCATAACCGCCATGAGTGATTAAGCAGCGGCCTTAAATGCTGAGGCCGGCTGCAGTAACTCATCCACACATTCACAAAGCAAGCAGGCCGACTTCGGGATTTGCCGCACGCTGACAAGCGCACACACTACTCCTGCTTGTATTCCACCAAATGAAAAACAAAAACCTCCATAAGACTGGGATTGTATTTGCCTGCGCGGGATTGCGTACCATTAGCTAAACCCATATCCCCCCCCCCCCCCCCGCTTGCTTCACTGACCTTTCCATGAGTAGTCGAGTTTGGATGACTGTCGTGACCTTTCACAATTCCTACCCGTATAAATAAAAATAGGACACATCCTCATTGCTGACAGACACATACATCCTTACCTGAGACATGATTGTGAAATTGTTTGAATTTCCTGGCATGAGGAAGGTGTGACCCCCCTCTTGCACACCCTTACTGCTCTGTGTTCCCTTTTGAAATAAAACTTCGATCATGAAACCCTTGTAGTTTTTGAATATGAATGGAGCATTGACACGTTACAACTAATTAAACTCAAACATCTCTTTGAACCTCTTAACATACTCAAAACTTACATTCACGTGTAATAATTATTAAAATGACTATCAAAGCAACAAAGCAAGCCATACAAAACTGGGGGCTGGTATGTGGATCAGTTGGTTTGGCTGCAGTTCCTATAATCAGAAGGTTGCAGGTTCAAATCCCAGCAGTAGCAGAAGGATTTCACTGTTGGGCCCATTGTTCCAGGGACCGGCTGATCTTGCTTTATCACTAGTACGTTGGCTTGAATAAAAGCATAAGCCAAATAAACATACATATGAAATTGTTTTAAGGTGATAAATAATGTGATTAGTTCTTCTAGAGACTTTCTTTGCAAACACAGATCTCACATTATCATTAGATGATGCCATTTACAGCTCATCATAACACAGAACCCCACACGTGAACGTGTATCGGATTTTAATGGGCCGTTGTTCCTCAGTAGGCATCTCGACCTTTTGTTCGGGTAATAGTCCTGAAAAGCTCAAAGGCAAGTTTGTCATTGGGAGATTCAGTGCTCTTTACGTCTACCTCTATTTACAGAGATTCAGTGTTCTATAGGTCTACCTCTATTTACAGAGATTCAGTGTCCTTTACGTCTACCTCTCTTTACAGAGATTCAGTGTCCTTTACGTCTACCTCTCTTTACAGAGATTCAGTGTTCTATAGGTCTACCTCTCTTTACAGAGATTCAGTGTCCTTTACGTTTACCTCTCTTTAGAGAGATTCAGTGTCCTTTACGTTTACCTCTCTTTACAGAGATTCTGGGCGCCCATCCCAGATCAATCCAATTACGTCCCAAATATTTTAAGGCCCGATGCCTCGGGCATCTGCTTAGGATGCCTCCTGGACGCCTCCCTGGTGAGGTATTCCGGGCATGTCCCACTGGGAGGAGGCCCCGGGGAAGACCCAGGACACGCTGGAGGGACTATGTCTCTCGGAGCTGGATGAATTGGCCGGGGAGAGGGAAGTCTGGGTTTCCCTGCTGAGACTGCTGCCCCCGTGACCCGACCTCGGATAAGCGGGAGAAAATGGATGGATGGATGGATGGATATTTTAAGGCCCCCGTCACTCAGAGGCTGCCCGAATCCTCCCCCCTCCCCCTTCACAGCACCCCTCCCTGTTTAATCCACACTCCCACCGCCCTGAGTAAAGGAGTCTCTGCTCTCAAAGCGTCACCTTCTGTCTGCTACCCGTTTGGGTTTTTCTTTCCTCCTGCCAAGACAACAATGGCGTGAAAATGAGGCATGCATGCATCCTTCTGCCTTTTCGCAGAAAACGCTGGCGCAAAGCTGCCGGTTTCACCCATGGCCAGGCAAATTCCCTCAACACTGCGCTTGTTCATCGGTACATTGTGCTTCTGATAAGAAGCTGCTGACATAGATACGGACGACGCCGGGCGGTCCCGGCTCTCGTTACGGCTGTCTGGGTCTCCAGTGACGGGCAGACGTACGCCTGCTTTAACACACGTCACTTTTATTCATTTGCATTGTTTATGGATCTTTCCTATTGATCCATGCAACTTCTCTTGTACGTAGTAAAATTTACATGCCAATATTAACCATTATATTCATCAGCCGGACAGATTAATCTCACTTTCTTGGGGCATTTAAGGACAAACAAAGAATAACACACCACTCTACCATAAGGGTTCAGTATATACCATCCAAGCAATCTCGAATTGCTCACCCTCACTGGGGTCGTGAACAGGTGGTGGGGGGGGGGGGGGTGGAGCCTGTCCCAGGCAGTGGAGGTCACCCTATATGCAGTGCTAGGCCATAGCAGGACTGAAGCACATGCACACCAGAGACAAACCCTGAGTGAACCCCAACGCTGATGCTATGAGGCGACAATGCAAAACTCCAGAGGCTTGATTCCCTGCTCACTATATAGATTAAAGCGAGAAAGCTGTGACACAACGGTACCTCAGTGCTTTCCTGTCCCAAAACCCTACTGGGGGAGACGTACAGGTCACACTCCAGGCTCTGTTACTATGTACATGTTTGTACTGAAATTCTGTAACAATGCTGCAATTTTTTTTGGCTTCATGACAAAAGTCCCTTGACAAGCGATGTTGACCATATCTGCACAAACCCTCCTCACAGACATTTTGTTATTATTAACAGTCATAATTGTGGCTGGCTAATTCAGTTTTGTTGTTACCATTTTTTGTATTAATTGCAATTGTAGTGACCAGCTCCCAAAGGGATACTAAACACAAATGTTTGGTGTTTTATGTTATTGCAAAGGTGTTTTCAATTTAAAAAAAATCACGCAGTGAGGCTGCCTTTCAATGAACTTTTCAAATCAGTGCAGCCCTTTTAAAACTATAATTTGGGTTTCAGTTGATTACTACTTTAAATTAATGTTTTACTTTAAACTACTGGGTATTTCTAATGTGATATATATTTTCATAAAAAAAAATAATGATTTTTGAATATATTTGCAAAATTTCTCCTGAATTAAGGAAGTGTCCCGAGACTTTCTGTGAACACAGTCCTGAGCTTTATCACATTATTTGTCACAGGGATGGAAGGTACTGACTTACAGTGGGCGGATAAAATAACAGAAACAGCACATGAGAAAGAACTTTACCTCTGAAGGAAGTAAATCACAAACACAGCCAGAAAGATGAGACATATTAGGCTAAATGTAAATGAGCAGCATGTGTCAGATACTGTATAAAAGAAGTCTGACTACAGAACTTTGATACATGAGTTTTCAAAGCAATACAAGGCACCAAGCACTGCTGTATGTCCTGCACTGCACTGCTGTATGTCCTGCACTGCACTGCTGTATGTCCTGCACTGCACTGCGGTATGTCCTGCACTGCACTGCTGTATGTCCTGCACTGCACTGCTGTATGTCCTCCACTGCACTGCTGTATGTCATGCACTGCACTGCTGTATGTCCTCCACTGCACTGCTGTATGTCCTGCACTGCACTGCTGTATGTCCTCCACTGCACTGCTGTATGTCCTGCACTGCA